GCAGGTTGGAGGTTTGGAGCCTCCCTGACCGGAGATGTTCCAGAGCCGTCGGGACACGATCCTGGCTCTGGGATAACCCTGCTGGGCCAGGAGCTCGCACTGTCCGACCCACTGCGGTCCTCTCCTGTCTTACCCATTCTGTGAGATCTCTCGGTGGCCGAATTCATGTGATAATTTATATAGAAAGAGAAGTTTGAACTTCATGAGTTTTCTCGCTGAGCAGAGATGAAAGCAGGGTCGAGAGCTCTTTTATCCCTAAGCACCTCTCTCGGCAGGGAAGAGCCTCTCTCCTCTGACTGAAGCTCTGATAAAAGGCTGTGTGTAGGTGGTTTGAGAGAAGCTCTGTCCTTTCCATAAATTCAGGATGAGCACTAGTCACGGATTTTAGCACCTTTTCACTCTGGCCCAGTATGGAAGTCTCCTTTCATTTCTAAATACAGGCTCAAGAATTTTCATTACCTTAATGAGAAGCAGAAACCCAACAACATCCCCAGAGAAGGGTTTCAGAGGATTTAAAAACTCAGATAATGATAGACTGATGTCTCTGAAAAGTTAATTCTTGCTTCTGTTGCTCACAAACACTTCTTTTAATCCTTGAAGAACAAGGAGGGAACAAAGAGGTTTAAATTCTTACTTCAGGTCCATCAGGGGAGTTCAGGGTTAGAACTTAATTAATCACTGTGGCCAACAACCCACAAAGAGTACAAGAGTAAAATTCTGCTACTTTTGCTTTTTCCTGACCCTTTATTTTATTTGACCATTAAATCTAAAATGGTTCAAACACATATCTTTTGGTCCATATCCACAGCTTCAACCTAAATGGTTTCTCATATCACAGCCCAGCTTTAGGGTTTTCTCAATTTTTTTTCTGGGTACAACAAGCAACAAAATAGATGGTTACAATAGCAGAGCTACAACAGCTTCCAAGAATTGAAAAACCTTGTAGCAGCTGCTAATTAGGATTTTAAAAATCTGCAGTGCCTAAGATATTTTAGGGCACATTTTATTTAGAAGAATTGTTAAATGTATGAAGATGAAAGAGATGGATTACAGGAGAATTAAATGTAGGGTTTAACTGAGAAATAATCATTTTCTATGAAAGATAATGACTCCTCTTGAGGCTAGTATCAAGATTTATTGACCCAGGAGGTTAATATTGATCAAACCCAAGGCAAACAAAATATTAGACCTTGAAGGAGAGTAATCTTGATATTGAAGCCTTGCCACTGAGTGAACAGGTCAATATATCTGGGTGCCAGAATCTCAGCTTTTGAACACAGAATGGTGGGGGATATTAAACAAGTCTGACATGTTCTGTGTGCACACTTTTTATTCTTTATAGCTGTGCCCTTCCCTGCAGAGCACCGTGTGAGGGTTCAGGCTTCACTCCCATCTGATGGCTCTCTGCCTCAGGTGTAACATAAGGCTAAAAATCAAACAAGTCCTTCAGCTATTTATTCATATCTAAGTGATATTTTTAATAGATTTCATTCCAAACACAGGGATCCTGCTGCTGCAAAACCAGAGTGAGAATAAACTGAAAAGCCAGAGTGCTGCAATTTATAGATTTGTCATTGTATCCAACACTCCAAGTCCGGGAGGAAAAAAATGGAGTTAAATTCTGCTATAAACTGACAACAAGAAAACAAGTAACTTATGTGGATTAACTAATCAATGAGGATAAAGTCAGAGACAAGGAAATGTACCACTAGAGACATGAAAATAGTTTATAGGATAAGATCACCAGTGAAAGTGCTGGGGGCAGAAGTTGCCTTTTTATTTCTGTTCATATGGCAACAAGCAGGGGAGGGTTTAATGTGCCCAGCAAAACAAAACAGAAATGCATCCATTCACTGCTGAGAAAAACAGTGTGCACAAGATAACCTGTAATTCTAACTGATTTCAGTGAAAATAAATAAACAAAATAAGCCATGTGTATTATATTTTATTCAGAAAACAAGTACAAAAAACAATTAAGCCAACACTATTTAAAAATACAAATATAAAATGTCTTTCTATTCCCCAAGCAGATTTTCAAGTATTGCTTTTTAAATCTTAAGTTTATCTATAATTTATCTTTATTGATCCTGATTTTAATTTTATTGAAAGACACTCTGAATGAATAGGATTGGAAAAAAATCTGATCTCTTTACAATCAATTATTCAATAATAAACAGTTTCTGAATTCCAGTACGAAATATTTGCACAGCATTTATTTTAAAAAGAACTAACAAAAATTTGATTTTCTCAGTACAAAATAGGTGGGACCACAGCAATTAGCATTGTGAACAATTACCAGGCTGAGGAAATGCTTCTATTTCCTTGTCAAAATCTTGACTTTTTTTCCAGTTTTGCCAATACAAAAAGAGTATTGATTTCCTCTCTTTTGTCTGTTAAAGTACATTCTCAGCACCCCACATTTAGATATTGTACAAATTCAATGGGCTCCTGTGAATTGCATGATAAATAACCCAATTACAGGCACACATCTATTGTTAGGAATTGAAGGTGCTGATAGAAAAATCTCCAATTTAAAGTGCATCACATCAGTATTTGCCTCATTTGCATAAAATTATAGACATTTAACCTGATTGTCTGGCTCCAGGTCCTGCCATTCCCTGTGCCAGCTCTCTGAAGCCATCTCCTTTTATCCAGTTCCACAGTGGATTAAAAGAGAAAAGATGGTGCACAGTCACCTGTCAAAGAGGCTTTTTTCAGATAAATCTTATTAAGAACTCTGATTGTATCAAGGATCAAGCTATCAAATATGGCTTCAGTCATCCTCATCTTCACTCTTAATTCATCATCACCATAGAAAGTCCACTGAGATTCTTCTTTGCGAAGCTCTTGGATCTAAAATATAACATGGAAACAAATTTTTACTTCAAAAAGAAGAGTTCCTCAAAAGCACTGAGACACTGCACCTAATCCAACAATTTTACATCTGTATCATTAATTTATTTAATTTAAACCACTCACAAGAGCTGGAAATACTGGATTATTAACTCAATTTTTAAAAGGCAGTAATTTCTGAAGTTAATTTATAAATGTGATTCTGAAGTTCTATAAATTCTGAAGTTAATTTTTAAATGTGATTCTCACAGAAGGATGAGAATTTCTAGTTTAAATCTAGAGGAAATAAACAAATCCCCATTGGAAATTCTGCTTACCAGAATAAGGTCCACTCTGTCTCTCTTACAGTTTCCATACTTGGTCATATTTAGGAATTTTCTTTTCATTTCTAAGTCATTCTTTTCCAGGTTCATTATTTTAATAATTTCACCCTGAACAAACGTCTACAAAATAAAGAAGGCTGAAAAGAACTCTCCTCATAAGAATTCTGGAAGTCATTCTTTTCCAGGTTCATTATTTTAATAATTTCACCCTGAACAAACGTCTACAAAATAAAGAAGGCTGAAAAGAACTCTCCTCATAAGAATTCTGGTGCTGTGAAGGTCCCAGGTGAGTGACAGGTGCCAGTGAGAAGATCCAGCTTTAAGTCCAGAAACATCCCAAAGTTTAGGGGGCTGATCTAGAGGTAGCTGATCAATACTGGCCAACCAACACATTTTAATCATAACATTAAACACAAAATAGTCATAATTAGGAGAGTTTAAAGGCCCATTCCCATTCTTAACTCCACACATATGGAATATTTTGAGTCATCAGCTCAGTCTGTATTTATTCAGGCATTTCCATCACCTCAGTTACTTTGCCACAATCCTCCCATATTTCACATTTCTTTTTGCAATCTCTGCTCTTTCCACTCTTGTCCCTGTACTTTCCCTTGCCAGAACATACCTTGACATCCCTGACATCTGTCCTGCTGCAGAGATGCCTGCAAGAGGGAGATCCCACATTTTCCATCCATGGGAAGACGTTTGGCTTTGCAGTCACTCGATATTCTGCACACAGCAACTCATGGCTCAAATCAAATATAACCTGTAACAAACTCAGCAGGGCACTGGAGTCAGGAAAACTGGATTCCAGTCCCCAGCTTCCCATGGAACTTGGCTTTCCCTGAACAGACCCAAACACACACTGGGGCAGGTGTCCAAGGGCTTAGGGTGCAACTCTGGAAAAACTCTGGATTCTCTACAAGGACATTTATTCTACTGGAATTATTCTGCAGCAAATTGCTAAATACTCCTGGTAGTACCTTTCAGCGTTCCTTTAGTTATATTTAGTGTTAGCAACTGGAATAACATTAAATATTAGCTATTATTATTCAGCCTCCAGAACACTACAAAAATTAATTAACAGTTGGTGCTTTAAAAATACCTGATTATACATCCTCTTGCTCTCTGCTTCCAAATCATTCCCTGGGAGATCACTGTATTCCAAGTACTTTGGCACGTTGATGTTCCTGAAATTTGATTTTATGTTCTCTGGGGTCCATAATTCTTCCACAGCATATGCAGACAAATTTTTAACATAAGAGCTGTTATGTGGTATCACAAGAGGAACTTCCACAGTTTTCTTCCAAGGAGCTGAGTGCCACTGGTCTAATTTGTACAAGTATTGCTTTTGTGTCTGTCTCACCAGCATGTTTTGGTCAGAATTAGGCTGATCAAAATCTTCAGAGCTTCCAAAAACACCAGCATCAAGGATTTTTAAAAGGAGCTTCAAGAGAGATAAAGAAAAGACAGATATATTCCTTATTTTCAGAGGTATTGGGATTATTAGCAACTGATCAAGGTTACACTTAAAACCATTTTATTCATGGGCTCAAAGAAAGGCTTACTGATGTATTATTCAAAATTCCAGTAAAAATTCCCATTTTTGTTTGGACCATACTATCCAATGGATACAGAATAATTCCTGAAACAAGGAATGGGTCACATGAAGTGAGCAATATGATATTGATATCATTTCTGTGGATGATGAAAAACTGGGCCACACAAATTCTTGCTTTTAGAGATCCAGCTTCAGGGCCAGCACTTGAAATAAAAACTTTCTCACTATACTTACAGGCAAAGTGGTTGGAGAAGTCTCTGGAGATAAATGAAGTATCTTGTCTGCTTTTGATCTGTGTTTTCTTTTAATCTTCTTATATTCTTTAACTGCATCATCTATAAATTTAGTTACAATTCTGTCTGTTACTGTGTGACAACCATGAATGCAAAGCATATCAAAATCACCCAGTGAAACATCAGAAACCTTTGCTGATGGCTCAGATAAGGCAGCAGCTGAATTTTCTTTGAGGGGAAATGGTTTCTGATTGTCTTCTTGCCTCAGGCCTTTGCCATAATTCATCATGTCTTTTTCAAAGGCACTTTTATATTTGTGTTGAGCTGTTTCAGAAAATGCAATTAAAATGTCAAACAGAAGTTTTTTACTGAGTTCACTTGCAATATCATCAGCAAGTTTAATTCTTTTCTGATCCTCTACCAAGCAACAAATATTTTTGCTTGTGTTTACCTCATCTGTCTTGCTTTTCTTTGGAAGAGCATCTGCAAATGTAGTTTGTTTTATTTGTGCCAGTTCTGGTTTTTCTTTATCTGATCCCAAGCACGTTAAGTTCTTTTGACAGAGGAATTCATTACAGTTACACTGGTTGGAATGGGGAAACTTCTGCCCTTTTCCACACAGCAAGGCACTGTGTAACCCAGACTGGTTTTCTTTCACTTCTGAACCTCCTGCACTGTTTGTGTCTTCTGATTTCTCCTCTGCAAACCCCACTCTCTGCTCATCATCTCCAGAATATTTGCAGTCTCCTCTGAGGGAGTCATCATCATCACAGGAGTCAGAGTCTTCATTCCCCATGCAACTGGAGCTGTTTTTGTTAACCCCAAACAGGTGTGAAATCTCATCAGGTCTGACAAAGACCCCACAGTGCTGAGCACACCCAAAATACTTCACCCCTTCATCAGTTCCAGCATTGTCACCTTCAGCTTTGTCCAGTGCAACTCCAGCCCAGTGGCCACTGCCAAAATGAGTCTGGCCTTTGAACATCAGAGTTCCAGGCTGGCTCTGCTTCATCACCGCTCTGTCCCCAATTTCAAATGATGATAATGGGTCATCACTGTCCTCCTCAGCACTGGGCAGCTTTTCACGCATTTTGCATTGTTTCATTGGGAATTCAGGACTTGTACTTCCACCAGAAGAATCTGTATTTGACACAGGCAGAAACTCCAAATGCTGCAAAGGCATCTCCTGCTCTCCATGCAGGTTTTCTGATAAACAGCTGGAAAGAGCTGTAATAGATTGTTGTGAGAGACAACCATCATTGGTTGAAAAAGCACCACTTGTCTCTGTACTGAGCAGGGGAGATTCCTCAGGCACAGTGTTATCAGGTAATGGGGGTAATGCATCCATTTCCAGTGATAGATTTTCATCCATGCCCTGAGCAGACTCTGAGCCTGTCATTTGTTCCAGTGGAGATGTGAAATCATCTGTGCTGGAGGCAGGATCACTATTTTTCATTGCATCTGCACCTAAAGGGGGAGGAGGAAGATCTTCACCTGGAAATGACAAATCCTTTTTGTTAGAGGGTGGCAAGTCAGCACTTCCAGAGGACAATACTTCACCCAGAGGACACAGCACTTCTGACAAGGTATCCTCATCAGCTGGAGGGAGCCCCTTATCACTACTGGAGGTTGCATCAGTGCATGAAGGGCTGGCAGCTGCCTCATTTCCCAGTGTGGGCATCTCCTGAGAACAGGGCTTGTGTCTGCTGCAGCTTTGGGAGGCACCCAGGTGTGGCTCATCCACTCCCTCAGAAGGGTTTTCAGACTGGGAGCAATGTGCTGACTCAGCTCTGGAGGCATTTGCTTTGTCTGCTGGGATGAAGGAAAGCAGGTGGTCAGTGCAGCCATGACCCAACACATCTCCAGGGTATTTCTGGGAGAGAGATGAAGTCTCAGCTCTGTCATCTTCAGGCAGCTCACGTTCATTGTGTTTGTCACTAGGTGATGTTTCCTTTCCATTGCTTATTGCTATTGGCATCTCTTTTGAGATATTAAACACATCACCACTGTCACAGCCAAACTCCTCTGGGACACTGACATCTGTGTCCTCTCCATGCTTCAGCTCTAATTCTGGGTCTGAAATGGAACTTTTTGAGAAGCTGATCCGAACTGCAGACACTTTCTGAAATCCTGAGTGAGAAGAGTCTGATTTGGCACCTTCACATTGCAAAAAGGAGTTATTTGACCTGGACAATGATTCAGTGGAAGTTAATCCCTCAGAAAATCCTTCTAAATTTTGTTCATCAGAAGCTTCATGAGAAACATGGTCCAAATGCTTCAAGCACTGACTGGCATCCACCTGATGGATCTCAGAAGGGACAGGCACTTCCACTTCTTTAACTGGAACATTTAAAAGAATTTTTTTTTAATCATCACTTAAAAGAAAAATATTTTATAGAAGAGCTTGCTGATAGGACACTCAAATCTATCATGCTCCTCACTATTATATCTAGGAGTAAATTAGGAGCTGGACTTTATGATCCTTGTGGGTCCCTTCCAAATCAGGATATTCTATGAAACACAGAAAGATGGTTCATTAGAAAAATGACAGAAATAGGAAATACTGCCACAATATGTAAATGTTTATATTACAGAAATTATGCATACCCAGAACTATGTAAATGATAAAACTGACTCATATATAAACAGACAGTTTTATTTTTCACCTGTCCTACTGAGAGCAAGAAATATGAACTGAGGATAAAACCTGGAAACAAAAATAACTCCAGCATGTCCTGTCCAAGTCTATCTTCAACTGATCTATGTTCTTTTAAAAAGAACTGCCTTAAATTCTTGAAAAACTGTATCAAAAGAGAGCAAATTGTTAATGACACAATCAGAGTAAGTTATGATTTCGTTCTGGGGAAGCAGTATAATCATATCTCTTAATAAACCTCTGAGAGATCCTCACCATCTTGCCCAGCAGTGATTTATACATTGGTTATAGTGAGCAAGACACTTTGGTAATAAATGAGAAGATTGTCTCTCTTTCTGTCTGGATTAAAATTTGATTGAAGTAGTTGAAACAGACTGGACATAATAGCATTAAATATGATTGACCTGTTCCTTCAAGAGTGTTTTCCTCCTGAACCAGGCATAAGTTACACCAAGTAGGAAGCATCCCCAAGCCTTTCCCTGGGTTCTTTCTGCCACATGGATTAATATCTTCATTATGTTTAGGATCAGGATTTGAAAGAAGTGCCTTTTCCTCCAGCACAGATTCCTAGAAAGCAGACATTTAGGAGACAGAGTTAATGTCTTAAGGAAAAAGTGCATGTAACCAACACACTTATTTTGGCTCCATGTTCTTAAGTGCTGGTCCTATTTTAAGGCAAATAAAATCTGGGACACCCTTTCTTTAGGCATTAATGGAATTCCAGAGATCCTTACCAGAAATACACACTTCTGGCCTTTTCTTGTTACAAGTGTGGCTTTAGGTTCCATTCCAGCTGAATTTGTAGGTTCCAGAGGTAAGAAAACATCATCCTGAGCATTAAGGGACTGCTCCAAACCTGGCAACTCCTCCCCCTGTTTCTGGTGTTGTACCAGTGATTCCTTGTTCTCAGTAGAAAAGCTGTAAAGAGTTAGACATGGAATGCTTTGTTCCTGATCAGTATAAAATATGAACACACCCATGCAGGTGGATAAATAGCATAATCACCACTCTGCACTCCTGCACAGGACAGAGATCTATGGACAAGCAGCCAGAATTTGGGTGCATTTGATTCCACCGCCCCTGGCTGCTCCAGACTGACACCAATATTCACTGTTCTCCTACGAGCAGCCTTGTCAGTAATAAGAAGTGAAAGCACAGCCAAGAAACCTTTTAAAGATTTCTCTGACTTGTAATCAATAACACCATGAATTATAGATCAGTTCCATGCAGGGATTTATTTGAAAGCCTTCCCCTGTGGGGACTTAAGTAAATGCACAAACCTGACTCACCACCCTGCTAAAGCTCTGGGTAACACTGAATGAAAGGGGGTTTTAATTCATATTGATAAATATGTGTCTTTAACTGCTTTTTCTCTTCCTGAAGCAAACTAGATTTTTGTTCTGAGCAGTGTGGATGCTGTGAAGTTCTCATTGACACTGCTCAGCTCCTGCAGCCCAGCAGGAAGCAGACAGGGATGCTCCTAGGGAACAGCAGGATGGGGATTTCTCAGTCTGACTAAACTCCTGAATTATATCTCACTGTAGGATTTTACATGACACCTCTGTGCTTCAGTTTAAGCCTAAAATTTAGCCCTGTGTATTCCAAAATCCTTTTCTGGTTAAATCCTCAGTGAAGCACAGACCAGCGCTGAGGGGCTGAGTGATCCAGAGGCTCAGAGCCAGAGGGTGACAAAGGAGTGAATTTCCCCAATTAAATCAATACATTTCTACTCATTCCATATGGGTATTGTGAAGCCTAATTAATATATAGTTGCAAAGTGCTTGGGTTTGTAGTTAAAAGCCACCATGAAAGCATGAACTATCATTAGCAGTTGTGTGGCATCATTGAAGGTGCCCTGAGGAATTCACCATTTGAGACAGAATGATAAGCAATGATCTTGATTTATCAACTGCTTGAACACAGAAGTTGGAAAAATTTATCATTATACACTCCCTCTTTGGAGTATCTAAAGCTCACACCATTATCTAGGACATGCCTGTCTCCATCTTCTCCACTGGGTTTGCTCTCACCTTCAGCAATCACTGAGAAAGGTTTTACTTACCCCTCATATTTCCTGCTCTTTTTATGCTTTAGCTGGACACAATTGTCTTTACTCCCTGACTTCACAACCTCCTGCTCTCCAGCCAAACTGTGCAGCTTTTCCTGGAGTTGTGCTGTTGAATGCTGCATCATTAAGATTTCTCTCTGCTGCTTTAATAAAAGCTTCCTCTCTTGATGGACTGCCCTGTGGATGTTTCTCAGGTGCTGGATTTCTGCCTACACAAAGCAGAGAAAGAAAGGTGCATAACATAGTGAAGATAATGAAGAACTATACTCAAAAATATGTATAATGTTTCTTCACATAGGGCACTATTAATCCCAAAATACCCTGAAAATACAATGGTTTCCTTTTTTATAAAAAATTCACAGTTTTACTTTTCAACAGGGCTTTCACCTGTGAAAACTGATGACAGGTAAAGGGATGTTTTTATGGGGTCCCAAGTGGCAAGGCCTTTAGAAATCAATTGTCTTCAGATCATTCAAAACTACAGGGTGCTTGTGGTTTGCAGTAGGAATTCCTTTACTTAAATGAGAGGCTCACACTACATAAGGAGCAGGATAGAAATTTTCTGACTACCAAGTGTAATTATGAACCTCTCATAGTGGAATAACCAAGACTATAAAATTAGCTGTCAGATTAATTTAATATATTTCAACATCACAAGCATAAATCAGTGGAAACCTACATTATATGACCTGTTTGTTATGGCATAAATAGAAAAATCCACAATAACAGTGAGGTAGCAGAAGAGGAAAAAAAAAGATGTTTTCTTTTATCCAAGATTTACAGACTGCTGACTTTGGCACAAAAGCCACCTCACTGTGGGTATGTAGGGAACATGCAGAATAATGGATGCAAAGTGTTGTTTTTTTTTTTAAACCCCACTTGCTCCAGCAACTCCAGGCACCTCTCTGTGCTGCATCATCCCTGTGGATAGGAGATGAATGCCAGCTCCCCTCACTGCAGCATTACCTGCTCCCATTTCAGCTCCATCAGGACTTTGTGCTGCTTTGCTGCCATGGCAGAGGCTCCTGTGCTATCCTGCAGGTTTTCCAGAACACTGGAGACCACAAGGATGAGAATCAGAGTCAGATCATTAAATGCCTTGAATTTATGGATGGGATTGGAGCAAAGCTCCTCTCGAAGCAGCTATAGGTATGGAAGACTCTGCAGAAAGTTACAATGGACTCAAAGACATCTCACCACCCTGGGGCTGTGGTGGCTGGACCTCTCCTGAGGCAAATGGAGTATCCTGAGCACTGGGGGATCCTTACAGTGTCTCAGTGTGGTCAGTGTCCCTCACCATCCATCCCTGAGGGCTCCTCAGCGTCATTAGTGCTGAAGGATGCCCCTGACTGTCCATCCCTGAGGGCTCCTTAGCTGGTCTATGCTAAGGGACGCCCCTCACTGTCCCTGAGATCTTGTTATCCTCAGTAGCGCTGATGGACACCCCTCACTGTCCCTGAGGGCTCGTTATCTTCATTAGCACTGAGGGACACCCCTCACTGCCCATCCCTGAGGGCTCATTATTCTCATTAGCACTAAAGGATGCCCCTCACCGTCCATCCCGGAGGGCTCCTCAGCCTGGTCAGCACTGAGGGACACCCCTCACTGTCCCTGAGGGCTCGTTATCCTCATTATGCTGAGGGACGCCCCTCATCGTCCATCCCTGAGGGCTCCTCACTCAGTTGGTGCATCACACCACCACAGAGGAGGCTCCAATAGAAGCTCAACTCTGCTCTGGAGACATTAAAACCATGAAGACTCCTTTCCTCTCCTCATTTTTACTTGCTCCTTGCTTTCTAAGAAGATTTTACATTTATTGCGTTCCTGTGAAAGGAGGGAAAGAACTCCTGGCCTAGCAGGCCTCCAGCAGCAGTGCCCTCACCGTCTGCGGTGGCCCAGCCAGGCCAGCTCGGCCCTGGCCCTCTCCCTCAGAGCTTTCCTCCGGAGCTGCAGCAGCACTGCCTGGTGCCGAGCCCGCAGCTCCTCTGCCCTCAGGCACTGCTCCACCACGGCCAGGCTGCAACCATGGAAGGTGCTGGAGCATCCAAAGCGTGGAATGGCTGCACTCCGCTGGGGACAGAGCAGAGTATCGGCATCATAGGGTGAACAGTTTAATGGAGGGAATAAAACCAAAAAACAAACCAACCCATAGAGAGGAACACCCCTCAGACTGTTTCGAGAGCTGGTGTTACCTGGCTGTTGGAGCTGGCCTGGTCACTGCTGTCCCCAGAGCTGTCCCAGGTCTCCCCATGGGACAGATTCACCCAAGATGACAAAAGATTCGAGGTGTGATGGCTGTGCCTGTGATCTGCTGGCAGAGACCCCAAGGCAAAGAGTTAATGTCACCAAAAAATAAAGTATCTGAAAGGAAAAGACACAAAAAACAACTCTCCCAGTACAAGTTAACACCCATTTCTGAACTCAAGGTGCCTTTGGCAAATATTTGTCAGCCGAGCCCATGCACTGCCCTCAGCAGGAGCGGGAGGAGTCATCCCTCAGCTGTTCACTTCCGGGAGCAAGGTGTGGACATCAACTTCCTTTAGAAGTGAAATCATGGAAACAGGTAAAAATTTAAAAAAGGACCCATCAATAGGGTAAATTACTCTCAACTCCCAACAAGATTGTCTTAGAAGGGCCAGGAATACAAAGGAACATGGCCATAGTTTAAACATGCACAATGAACATAAATACTCAGGTCAAAGTTTTCAAAATTAGCTAGAAAACTGTGTTCCAGGCCAGGTTGAATGGGGCATTTTCCCAATACCACTAAATCCTTTAATGTCATGTTCACCTCCTTGAAGCACTGGGCAACATGAACCTCCTCCTCCTAAAGGTTTTCTTTCTCCCAGTATTTTGGGATCCACTGGATTGGGATCTCTTTCTATCTTCAATGCAGAGTGTCTCAGTGAACCCGTCTCTTGATTACTGAAGGTAAGAAAAGGGAAATATTTTCTTACTGCAGTCAGAAATATTATTTCAATTCCTTACTCTTTCACAGCCAAGTCCTCCACAGAGATTGAATCTTTTCAAACCAGAATGCTGCTCATTTTTATGTGGTACTGAAAGTTTTACCTGTGCAAAGGTGCCTTTCTGGTAATTGCATCCATAAGACTCTGGAAGCAATTCTCAAGTCTTTATGCCGCTTTAAATGAACTTTAAAAATGCATATACAATATTCTAATTTATATCAATGGTATGATAGTACAGCAAAATGAAGAAAATTATACTTTTCACACAAGTTTCAGAGGGGTTTCTACTTTTTTAAAAGTGCAAGATCTCCCACAACATTGGAAAGGTGCTAATACTGTAGTTTGGGCATAAATAGAGTTAAAAACACTATATAGCAATTATTTAGTGTCCCAAAATATTAATATAATCAAATCACAGACCAAATCCTGGAGTGCCTCACTGTAGCCTACCTCCTGTAGCTGCCAGCAGCAAGGTCACCTTCCAGCCAGTGTCCTCTGTGTGTCTGCTCTATGTGGTCAGGTCCTGTCACAGGAGGAGCACTGCCTTTGGAATTCCTGCTGGCCTGCACACACACAAATTGTCACACGCCTCAATGATCTATTTGAAAACCAAAACATTTAAACCTTTTTTCCTCATCTTCTTTGGAGAGCCTCTGGTTGTAGATAATGCTTTTTCTATGCCAACAATTCCTAAAGAGTTGAGTCATTAGTGGGCTGGGAGAAAATTCTGTGGGCACATGAGGATAAGGTGCTACAGCAGCTCACAAATTGCTGTGTTCAGAACTGCTCTCATGAGAGCTGGGGCCTAGATGTGTAATCCAGGTCTGAAATCATAACTTACCTCAGAACTGAGCTGCAGCAGGCCCCTCAAAAACCTGTGGCTTTCCTCAACCTCTTGCTTTGCCTTCTCCCTCAGCACCAGAAGCCGATGTTTGTGCTGCTGCTGCTGGAGCTGTGTTAGGAAGTGACACATTACAAATGGTATCTCCAATCAGGTGACACAACACCTGAGAACTGGGGGGCAAAGGACAGGAGCTGCAGAGCCAGCTCCTGCCACATCCTGCTGCCCTGGGCAAGTACAGCAACCTCCTCTTACCCACAAGAGCTACACTGAAGTCTCCAAACAGCAAACAAGGGCTGGCACCTCACCTTTATAGTCCACAGGGTTTATAAACCTGACTCAGAGCACCTGATGCCAGCTGATTATGGCCCAAGCCCACCTGACTCTGGGGATAGGGAGCATCTTTTCCCCTGGGACAGCTGAACTGGAATTCCCTTTGCTCATTACACAGGTTTCCCACTGACCTTCAGTTTGTGAGCCAGTAGTAAGGAGGTTTGACTCAAAATGTCCAGGTGTCTCCTGTGTTTGTCCTCCAGCTCTGTGCCACCAAAATCTCCCTCACCTGCAGAAGTTTAGGGGATCATCACAAGGGGAATGTGTACATTGTTCCAACTGCATTTTCCTTTTGAATCCTCCCTGGGCCTATTTTTGGAAGCCTCCTAAATCTGACATCTGCCTTTATTACTGAAATAACTTCTTTGCATACATTTACCTCTTCCACCATAACTGTAGAAAGAAAATGTCAGCACGTACATCCTGTCAAGAAATGTGTGAGCATAAAGTCCTGCAAGTATTGAGAACTGTCAGGACTTAGGGAGAGAGGAATGAGGAACAATTCCTGTTCTAAGCCTGAATTTCAGTGTGGGTTATTGTCACTCTTGGTCTTGCTGCTCCTTTGCTGCACCAACAGATCAGAGCCACTGGGTACAAAAGAAAAACTTCCCAACCTCGTGACAAGGTTTCCCTGGTGAAAAAATGTCACTTTGGGAACTTGAGGAGCTTCCTGCATGTCCCCTCCATCTGTACTGGGATGCAGGCTGCTTCCTCTCTCTTTTGTCACAGGGGGACACAAACCCCTGGAAAAAATCTTTCATTTTAAAGTGGGGAAATTTCCCCTCTTGCTTCATGTGCACCTTTTTCACTGCCACTTCCTCACTGCACCTCCCCTGCCTGTGTGTGACAGTGCAGCTGATATTCTGTTTACCAGTGAAATGTTCTTGGCTGCTTGAGCTTCTCAGATGAATTGCTCAGCTTATGCAAACAGGTTGTGTGTTTATTCTGTGCTGTGCCACTGCCACAGCAACCAGAGTCATAAAAGAATGGAAGTGTGGGTCATAAATAGAAATAGGTTTGATTTGGAAACTTGAGATAAAATCTCTGTCTCTATCCAGGTCACCTGAATCCAAATTTCCCCATGGTGAGGATAAGCCCATGACATGCAGAGTTTGTTTTTGCTTTACAGACTGAAGGTCTGTAACACACAAGGAGCAGAGATGTGGGCTTGTTTACATGCCAGGATGGGCTTTGTGTTTATGTGGGTGTGAGTGAAATAAAATATTAAATCTTTGAGCCTGGTGCAGATTTTCTATTAGAATGCTGCTCTGTTTTTATAAACAGCTTGATTGCAGATTTCACTTTCCTCCTACAGTGGAGGAGGAGGAGGCTTCTCCTATGAAGCTTCTCTTAACACTCTTCTTTTCAGTGTCAACACTCTGGATGGAAATCTCATCCTTTCCTTTGGTAATGGGCCTTTCCTGGTTTTGGAGGGTGGTTTGGAAAGGCAAAATCATGCTAAATAATCTAGACATGCCAAATTAGGAGCTCATCTTTTTAGAAAGTCTTTCTAATTTTGGGGACTGAGTCAGACTCCTTAATGCTGATAGTTAACTAGACAAGATTTTGTGCAATGACCTATTTAGGAAAATGAAGTGGATAAAAAAAGCTGGGGTTTGTACAGTTTTATTCATGGTTTTAAGCAATGCAATAGAAAAAAGACAAGTGAACAATTCTTCAGTGGGTCTGCAGACAACACTTTCAAAAGCTCCTTCAATACTAACAAATAACAAACAAGGTCATTCTACAAAAAAAGTTACAAGCTATATTTATTGATGCTATGTTGTCTGATTAACTTTTAATACTAACATCTGGGCCAGTCAGAAATATGATCATCTATTAGGATATAATTTAAAACCTGATAAATATTTTCAATTTTCAAAACAGAACAGTTCTCTTGTTATTCTGACCAAAGCCCAACCAGTGGTATTGACCTCAAAGTGATTAAAAAGTTTGCTCTGATATCTTTTCCTTTCTTTTGAATGTAATTTTCCTAATTGTGGCTATTTTCAGATGCATTTCTTGTGTTGCAACATCCTGCATTAAAGAAAATACCATCTGGCTAAACTTCACGTCCTTTTAGGTGATGATGAATGGCATTTACTGCCTGCCCAGATAGCTTCAATGTGCATACACTCAGCCTCGTGAAAAAAATGCTATTTATTAAATCACTTTCCGCTGCACCTGCAGAATCTCAGCACAGCCCTGTAGAATCTCCCTGACATATAATTAAAAAAGCCAGGCTAAAAGTCTCATTTTTCTAATCACTTGAAGCAAGGCAGAAGCATTTACTGCTGCTTTACTCAAGGACAGCTTTTTCTCTTTCTGCACATGTCAGCAATCAGAGCAACCCAGTTATTATAAAAAGACATAGTTGCAACTTTACTGTAAGCACGACTTTGTCTGCATTATTGCCTGGAGGTGTAGGAATATGGGGTGTAAAGTGTCCAGAAATGCTGCTGTGGAGTGGAGCAGCAGATCCAGAAGGAATTTCCCCATTATCCCCCATTTGGACAGTCCTTCCCCTCTCCAAAATTACCATGTTAGCTCTAATGCTTTATTATTTCAGGGTAGGGGGAAATACCACCTAGACTTCAGCACTGTCTGTGCAGGAAAGGACCTGCAGTGATGACAGGTAAGAGGGGAGGAAGAAAAGATAAAATTGGTAAAATCTGATCACAGAGGGCAGTTTGGCCTTTCACAGGATCTGGGAGCCATGAGCATCCCCCAAACAAGAGACTCTCAGTGTGAAGGCTCTGCCTGTTCCCTCAGGAAATCCACGGGCTGAGCTGCACTCTGGGGTACCTTGGAGACTCTGTATTTCCACAGCTGCTGGGTCAGGTCCTTCTCTCCTCTCTGAACATGTCTGGTATTCCACTTGGCACTGGAGAGTGGCTGCTTACCAAACAAGGGGATTAATGTGGCCTGTGCTGCTCCTGTGCTCTGCATATTTTGTATTTATGTCTAAATCCTCTGGTGTGGAGGGCTGGCCTGAGTTCAGCTCCCAGCCAGATGTTGCAGCACATGGCAGGGCCTCTCCCTGCTGCTGCCCCTTGTCACAAGGAGCTGCAGGGCAGCTCTTGGCTCAGGATAGCAACAGAGCTGGGCCTGAAGCCAGACCTAACCAGAATCCTGAATTTCCGTGGAATGCTCCTTGTGCTCCTCATCAGTTATTCTGAACTCTCTCAGTCACTGACAACATCATTGCAGACAGCTCCAGAGGTGCTGAAGGCAGGGCTGGAGCTTCCTGGAGCTGGGGGAAATACAGAACACAGCCAGGATTTGGGAGGGAACACAAAGAGCTGCCTCAGCTCAACACTCCCCATCAGGCCACAATTAGCTGAAGCCATGCTGACACGTTTCTGTGCTTATTCCACTCATTTAATAATTTCTCCTTCTTCTAGAAGCAAGAAGGCAGCTCCCTCTAGTGATACAAGAAAATATGTCAATCAGCAGTTTAGGGGAAAGATGATACATATAAATACATTTTCCTTGTAGTTCAGGTTAAAATTCTGCATTTCAAGAACAATGGAAAACATTCCATTTGCTTTCCTAGTGCAGATTATTTTAAAGCACCAGCCTTGATTCATCTTCAACATTTAGAAAATACATTATAAATAATTAGTTTCAGCTTAAATGTTGATATCTCTCAAATACAAAAAAAAAAAAGGAAACAAAAAGTCTGATCTGATGAAATGAGATTTCTGGATCATTCAGTCCAATCCAGCTCAAAGGCCGTTCCCTAGGAAAGGGCATGGGCAAAATGTTGGGATTTTTAAAAATCTTATAGTTCTCTTATTTAATAGAAATACAGAAATGTGGATACTGTGGACTGTATTCAGAGGACATGCTGGAGTAGCAAGGAGAGTACAGCTCATCTCCTCAGCTCCCTGTGGGAGAGCCCTGGGCAGGAATGACAGAAAGATTTTACATAGTAGTGTAATATGCAAAGCCCTTTCTTATCAGCTCACTGCTTATAGCAAGTTTTGTGCCTAAACTGATGAGAAATTCATGTAAGTGCAATGTGAAATACTTCCCAACACTACCTGTGGAGACAGTTTTTGCTCACCACAGCATGAGCTTATAGGATTTGCAATTCTGGGTTTTATACTGGCTGTGTTTAAAAAGAAATTTCAACAATTCAGGATAAGTTCACTGTCTTACCCCAGGCAGCAAGCAAATATCTTGTGAATATCATCTTCTCTCTGTTTTAAGGTGTTTGAAATGGAATTTGTTATTTTGCCAAGTGTGTTTACTACAGAAGGTCTTTCTTTGGCACAGCAGCGGGTGGTCAGGTGATGTGTGTGTCCCTCTGACAGGTAAATATTGCATTTGGCAGCAGTTGCACAATTCCACCTCATTATGTTGCGTGTGCACGGTGACTCCTGTGTCCCATGAAAGGACAGAGCCACTGCTGGGTGATGCCTTGAGCAGACAATGCAGCCTCGAGTCTGAACGCCCCATCCCTGCTCTGGGGGGTGACAGAGCCACTTGTGACCCATATTTCAAACCCACTTTGTGCTGAGCACGACAGCTCTGTGCTTCCTGTGGCCGTGGTGGCCGTGCTGCTCCCAGTCCAGCCTTGGGCTGGCAACTCCTGCAAATGCTCAGGGAAGGGAAGGTTTCTCCTGGCACAGACACGAGGCAGCAGCTCCTATTGTTCCTGGGGTGAATAGTGGGTGGTTGGGCCTTGCAGAATTGGGGCCCTCAGTTATTAATAGTAAATAAATAGGTTGTCTTTCGCTTAGGAAAAAACACTTCAGACAACAGCCTTGCTGCCCAATCTCTAAGATGCCCTCCTGGTCCCTGGGGGGGAGGAGAAGCACAGTAAACAATGCTGGCTTCTCCACCACCCCAAAATCCAATATGATGTATAAAATGTTGTGAGGAAAACAATGAAGAATCCTTAATAAGAGCAAAGGCTTTTTGTAAGTACCCTCTTTGAGGAAAGGTTATCTGATCTTGTTCTTTTGTCTCGGAAAAGCCCTTAAAACAATGCACCATCTGCTCCTGTTTGGTGGGAGCAGCAGAGATCTCTTCAGACAGAGCGGTCTGCACGCTACTGGTCGGCTTTTAACCCTTTCAGCCACAAACTTTCCCTGTTTCTGTGCAAACCTCTGCTCCATGCCCTGGTCAGCCCCGGGCACCCTGCAGCACATCCCTCCATTCCCCCTGCCCATGTCCTGTGCCTGTCCCTTGCTGGCCAAGCAGGACAATATCCCACACTGCTCAGACAGGGTAATTGTGAAGAGTTAATTGTGAGGCTCCCAGAGACCTTTAGATGAAGCTGGAAATGTCTCTGAGCTAAATGGGGTTTGTTCCACCTGTAGCTGTCACTGTGAGCTGAATTCACACCTGTGACAGCACAGCACGGAAAAGGCAAAGAGCTTCTACTGCATTTTATGAAATTTTAATAGTAATTCTATATAATCTCTTAGACTGTGCATGAATGTTGAGAGGACAACTTTTCATGCACCTCTTTTTCACCTTCAAAATCTGGAAGAGAATCATCTATTTGAAATTCCCCCTCACCCCAGAAGATTTTTCAGCCCTAGCCAGAACCATCAGCAAGAATTCTGTTGCAATGAGGAGCTGCTCATTCTATTGCCACAGCACAAGAAATACTCTGGGAGGGCACTGAGTGACCCTCTGGGAGATGCCACCTTACCCAAGTGCTGCTCAGTGCTCAGAGTGGCAGAGGGCTGGAAGCTCAGGCTGTCCCAGATGCTCAGGCTCTCTCCAGGAGATGGGCTGGCCATTTGCTCTTGGTTCTGAACTTTCAGAACAGTCTCACATCCACACTGATCCCTCCGTGCCGTGAGCTCTCCCTGCGGGCTGCACCAAAGGTAACAACAACAATTACTACATTTTTGAGATGTGTATAAAGCAATCTTTTGAACTTTAAAAAAAGGTTATTTCATTTAAACAGAACTATTACATTTTGTCAAATGGAAACAAAAGGTTCCCTGAGAAGTCATACCTGGCAATGAACAAAATCTCCTGTCTTGTACCTGGATGCTGTCAGGAAAGCTAACACACTCATTTTCACCTACTCTAATTGCTGCTCTGAAAGAGCTGATATTTTTCAACCTGGTGGCAAATACAAACAACAACCTTGCAATGTGGAAGCTTAATTTATGGGGGCTGCATTGTACAATCCGTGCCATTGTTGGGGCTTGGTTGCACAATCCAGCTCTGAACCTTGGCAAAGAAATCTGTTTAGAAACACAAAGTCCTGCACTCTGTTCTAGTGTGTCTGGGACTTGTGCTGAGCATGGCTGTGGCCCAGCTAAAATCTGGGAGTGATACATTTACTTAAATATTTTAAAACATTGTCAGCACCAAGTCCTGCAGATGAAGACCTCAGCTAACTGATTTTACTTTGTTTTGGTCTGCAACTATCTGAGCTTAGCTAAAAAGATTAAGAAAGAAGGTGTGAAAATGGGCATTTATTGATCAAGCCTCAGCTGAACCACACGCAGGGACACTGAGACACTGAAATGGTGACAGATGTTTTCTTTTTTATACAGAAAAATGAACGTGGAATTTTTTTTTTTTTTATCAGCAATCAGCTTAGGGAAATCTTATTTCATTTTTCTCGTTAATAAGCTTTTCTTTGTTTTTCATGACCCAGAAACTGCTAAAACGATTAGTACAGCTTCCACTAACGCGTCTTGGATGTAGTCTTCAGAAAGTGGGAGCAAAGGTGCATGAGAGAGAAAGAACAGAGGAAACAGGGATTTCTGACAAAGCAGTTCTAATATTCATTGGTTAAATGTGCTGAGTTTTGTCTCTGCAGTTGTGTTGGGATGGTTTTTTAGGCACTGTTTTCTTTGGCTCTTGGGAAATGTCTCCTGTGTTTGGGGAAACTGATGCCAAGGTTTGTGTCCTGGGAAGGGCATCAGTGGAAATCAATGCAGATTCTACAGAAAACACTGGGTTTCCACAGGAGGGGCCAGCATTGCCTGCCCTCCAGACACAGCCAGCTCTGCATAATCCACCACAACTCCCAGATGAGTTTTTCTGGGTTTGCACTGAACAGAAAGCATTGCTGAGTCCACAGGAGGAGGCAGAGCTGTGATCCTCTCCAGCCACCACTCTCTGTCCCAGCCCCTGAAGCCACCCAGACCCTTTCAAATCTGAACTTACAGCAAAAACAGGATGATTTTTTTGACTCTTGAGAGTGTAACCACTTATAGAGGCAACAGAAACAAAATAGGATGGAATTGCCCACACGATTTCTGGCAGTTTGGAGTATTCCCATCAGTGATGCATTTGCATCAGCAGCAAACCTCCGCCAGCCTCCCCTGTGGACAGGAGAGCAGCCAGGCATGAAATGGGAACATTGCTTATGGAAACAGACACCTGCAGGATTTCCTGCATGAGCACGAGCTGCTGTTTTCAGAGCTATAATTAAACATGTAAACAGCAAACTGTGCTGTTGAAACTGGCTGTGGAGAAGGTCATGCTCAAGAGCGCTGGGTTTGGAGCGCTGCATGTTTTGTATTTGTGAATGAGGCCAGCACAGTCAGTTTTAACAGGTGGCTTTGTTCAGATGAGCTATTGGAGAGACAGAACTTGGGCTGCTGCAGCCAAATGTGGACTCCTAACTCCTTAGCAGTGAAAGTCAGAGCACAGACCCAACTCAGCTGCTTTTACCATTGTATTTTCTAACCCAGCTCTGGCCACAACAATGAGAGCTCTACAGAAACAGGTTTACAAGGCCAAGAACACAGCATGGACCCCTCCTGTTAGCACAGCCTGTGAAGTTTGTGTGCAAGTTAAGAGACAGGCTCCCTTCACTGCCTGCTGACACTCCCCACAGAGGGTTCATGCACTCAAAGTGCAAATGTTCCTGGAGAAGGAGAAATTACGGCCCTGCAGAGTTCCTCAGTCACCTCCTTAGAGCACACTGGTGCTCCTTTATCTGGTGGCTTTCTGTCTGATTTGATCAGTAGTGAATCAGTTGACACCAGACCAACTTCAGGAATAACTTGATCACGGGAGCCTCACTCTGTGTGCCAAAGGACTCATCCACTTCTGCTTCCTGTGAGTGTGCAGACTTCAGGAGAGGTGCAAAATCTAGATTATGTACAAATAAAACCTGAGGGCAGAACTCTGGCTGAGCCTTTGTACTAATTACTTTGAGCCTTTGTATAAATTATGTACTTTACCAGTAGCTAATGAAGGGTTAGGCATGGGGTGCTCTTTCCTTTAGATTGTCCCCTCACTGTCACTGCTGCTGCATCACAGGGAGCCCTCAGCCCAGGAGATGAGTCTGGAGTCCTTCACAATCCAGCCACACTTTCCACTTCTAATCTCTAAACACAGCGATATTTTATCTGCAAGTAGCTCTCCTCATCTTTTGAAGCAGCACTTGCAAGAGGGGTGTGATTTATTGTCTGAGAGGTTTTATTGGTGTTTTTTTCGGTGATGCTCTGAGGACTTTTTGACTCTGGCTGCTTTGCTTTCTCAGTAATTGCATTGTTCAGCAGATCACTGCAATCTGTCTTATTTCTCCTTGGTTTGATGCTTGTCCCTTACAGCTGGGGGCTGTTCCCAGTGGGCCATGGGGGTCCTGCACCCACCATCATTCCTGTGAGTTTGGGTGGTGTCAGGGCAAGAGCGATGGAGCCCACGGCTGCTGGGCTGTGCTCCCCAAAGTGCAGCGCAGACACAGCTCTGAGTGTCTCCACTGCACACTCGGAGTGCCTGCTGCTCATGTTTTATACATTTGCCATCTTCTGTGACAGAACAGCTCCACAATCCTTGCAACCGATCTTTCGGAGCAGAGATCAGCCCAACCTCTGCGAGTGTGGTGGTGAGAAGGGGCTGTGTGTGAGCAGGTGCTGCTCCGCATGCACACAGCCTACAGAGCTGCACTGCTGGGCATCTTTCCCCCGCTTTTGTAGCAAAACGAGTGAACACAATCACTAGAAATTAATTTTTTAATTAATCCCTGCCCGAAGTAGGCGGGGGCAGCTTTACCCGGGGGCTCGCTCTGTCCCGCTCTGCGCCCGCGGCTGTGGCGCCCTCCGGTGGCGAGAGAGCGTCATGGCAGCGCGGCCGGGATCCACCGGAGCCACCGGGAACCGACCGACCGGAGCCAGGATCCTCCGGAGCCACCCGGGATCCACCGATCGGAGCCACCCGGGACCCACTGACCGGAGCCAGGATCCACCAGAGCCACCCGGGATCCACCGACCGGAGCCAGGATCCACCAGAGCCACCCGGGATCCACCGACCGGAGCCACCCGGGATCCACTGGATCCACTCGGGATCCACTGTCAGGAGCCATTTGGGATCCACAGACTGCAGCCACCCGGGATCCACTGACCGGACTCACTCGGGATCGACTGGAGCCACCCGGGATCCCCCAACCGGATCCACCCGGGACCCACCAACCAGAGCCACCCGGGATCCCCCAACCAGACCCACCCGGGATTCATGGACCAGACCCGGGGATCCACGGCTCCTGGGAGATCCAGCAAGCCCGGGGATCCACCAGCCCCAGGAACTCACCATTCCCACTATTTATTTTAAGTCTGTGTGGCCCATTCAGCAGAGGATGATATAGCCAGCTTTGTTATCCCCAGATTTCCAACTACATGGGGTCGGGTTTATATTTCCTTTCTTACTTCTGGAAAAGCCTAGGTAGCAGGAGGGGAAGTGATTTGTCCAAAATCAGTGAAGCCACAGATAAAATTATGAAATGTCATTTTACAGATGCACTGAGAGGATAGTGAAGTCTAGGAGACCACTGCCCTGAGTGTGGCTCCATGCTGAATTGATGCTCCTTATTTTAGATACATGCAAGGCACATTAAGCAGAGAATAAAATATCCGGCTTTGTTTACCTTCTAGTGAGGAATCTGTGAGCTGGAGAGGCTGGGCTGGTTATTGGCCTTTCATGCCATAGACTTATGTCCACCTTGGAGCCCTTATTCACAGGGAAACCTTTTAAAAAGACAAATGAAGACATTTAATAAATAAGCTCTTCATAGAAATGAAATGGCCCAAGCTTTGGCATCTATTCACTGCCTACTTATGTGTGAGCACTTCACTCAATACAGCTCTTCTTATCCACAGGTTTTAACTACATGGGCTTAGGTTTATAATTCTTTTACTTCTGGGAAAGCCTAGGCACCAGAAAGTGACATGTCCAAAATTGGTGGCAAAACCACAGATAAAATTATGAGATGCAGCTTTACAGGTGCAAGGGGAGGGGAGGAAAGTAAAACCTAGGAGAGCCACTGCTCAGGGATTTTCCAAGGCACAACATTTCCAATAAATAGCCAAGGGGAAATGAAGTTTAACCCCTGCTTGTAGCTTTGAAAGACCTGGGCAGTGGCACCTGAGCATCCCTGCTTTGCCATGTGGAAAGGATTTACCTTGCAAGGTGCTGCTCAGCTCTCCTGCAGAGCTGAGGTGACTCTGTCCTGCACAGGGAGTGATCCAGGGCAATTCGTCCCTCTCAGCATTCCCACCTGGCAGAGGAGCTGGCATTTCCCCCTGTGTGCCCAGCAGGCCAGTCCTGCCCAGCCCATGGCATTCCCTGCTGGGTGTCACACAAAGCCCTTCAGGATCTCTGTCCAGAGGCATTTGTGCAGTCTTTGTCCTCTCTTGCCTGTCCCTGGAAGCCTCAGGTGCTGGGGCAGAGGGAGGACCACTGTGCAGGCCCAGAGCTGTCCCTGTGGATTGTTTGTCAGCAGAGGCTTTAGCCCAGCTGGCTGCACTCAGCCTCTTCCTTGCCACGTCAATCTTTTCTGCAAGTTCCCTGGACAGACTCTGAATGGCCCTCACTTGATCCTGTTTGCTTCTCTGTGGAGAAAGTCCAACAGATGAGTCCTTGGAGGGAGGTTTTGCATCTTTCTGAGGAACAGAAAAGCTCAGAGGAGGTGAATGCAGAGCTGGGGGAGAGCAGTCCCTCAAGTCTTCACATTTCAGAGGACTGAGAAACCAGCATTCAGATTCCAGTGGTGCTGCAGGACCTGATGCTTCTCCTTTTTTAGGTGATTGAGCTGTTTCTAGGAGTTGATTCCTGTTAAAAAAACAAGAGAGAGATGTCTGCAGTGTGAGCTGAGAAAGTGGCTTTCTAGGATGCCTTTTGTGTCTCAGTACCTGCCTCTGTGATCTTCTGGTGACAGAGGAGAGGATGTTTCATCCACCCAGGCCATGAAATTCCTTTCCAGTTCTCCCCCGTTGCTTTGCCTCTGAAAGAGAAGAGCTCAGCAGTGTAAGCACTCAATGGCTGGCAACGCAAGGGCAATGTTTGGCCTTTGTTCCACCTAACAATTTGCACATGTAACACAGCAAACCTGCTCTTTTAGCTCAGGCACTGGAGATTTCCAGGTTTTTGGCCTGAAGTCGAGGATTCCAGCCCTACCCATAAGCCCAGTAGTTTATGCCATAATTATAAGCTAATTGCTCTGCTTTTCTAGATAAAACTTTTTCTCTCAAAGCATTTGCATGAAGTGTTTCATGTGCTACACATGCTGCACTGAGATTGGAGGGGTTTCAATCTGCCACTCCTTAGCACTTACTTGATCCAATTCATTCTGAGGATTTCCTTTGGCAGAACCCATTTTCCCTAGGGGTTTGTGCATCTCATCAGGACACAATTTCTTCCCAATAGCTTCTTTTTGTCTCCTGTACAATTCTTGCAACCTCTTCCTTTTCATCTCCTCAGCCTGTGCCAGAGCCTTTTTCTCTTTGAGGAGTTTTCTCTTTCTCTCTGCCTTTTTCCGATACATAAATTCCCGAACGCTTTCAGGGCTGTAAGGGTGAGGTTTTTTAAGGTTTGCCCTCCTCTTTGAAGGCTGCTCAAGGTTTTCTTTCTCAGACTCTTTCTGTCTCTGAGGAGCTGCACTGTTTCCTCTGCTGCAGCTTCCTGAGGCGCTGGGCTTGGCGCCATCTTTCCTTAATGAAAGTCCAGGGGGAGGAGAATGGATCCCTTGGGGTTGGTGTTTCACAGCCTCCCTGGGGAGCCTGATATGTCTGTGTTCCTCACAGGACTGCCATTGCAAGGGGAGGTTCCTGAGGGCTTGGTTTGTGCCCTCTGTGGGGGCATTGCTGCCCCTTCCAGCCTTGCTGGGAGCCACCACAGCGCTTTGGGCTCCAGGGCTCCTCCCCACAGCTTCATTTCCCTCCACTCTGGAGCTCTTTTCCATCACTGGCATTGCCCCAAATCCTCCACCTCCTTCCAAAGGTTCTGTGGGAAAGATTTGGAAACAACAGTGATGTAATTATTTCACAGAGTCACAATTCCTATATCTATAAAGTGCATCCCCCAGCCTGCTTCCTACTGCAAATCTGAGGATTATTTGCATTGTCTGTTGTAAAATCTGTGGTATTCAAGGGAGAAGATAAACCTGTAAAGGTGAAATCTGAGGTTTTGTTATTGCAAGAGCCATTAAAGAAAGGTGCTCAGAAGGGCCTGAAAAGCTTTTGTTTAGATTAGGTTTAATTTGTTTCAATTAGGTTTAATAAGCCTTTTTTGGGAGGGGGTGTGCCAAAACAACCCGTGCTGTAGAGGGACAGCTGTACCAAAGGTCTTTGCTGTGCTTTGCTCTGCAGTTCTGCTCCTCAAATGTGGAAGGGGAGGGGCTGGACCCAGCAGCCTTCTGGCCAACTTCTGACCTTCTCTCCATGCTGTAACTCCAGGTAGATTCACACCTGAAACAGAGAGTTTGCATTTAGTTATAAAAGCCCCACATGTTCTTTGGAAGGCTATTTTAACTCTCTTACTCAAATCTAGTTAATGGTGATTTCCAGGAATCACACTCAAGGTGTGAGGAGATAAAAAAGTTTCAGTCAGAGCAGGTTTAAAATAAAAAACTTGGTGCTACTTTGATAACAAAAAGTTTTTAAAGCACCTAAACTTTGGAGGCTGTCAGGATCATGAATCAGATGTGTTCAGGAGTGTAAAATGTGAAGGTTCAATGCTTTCCTAAGGCTTTACCATCAGCAAATATATCATTTAACACTTGAAATGTATTCACACAGTTCTTACAAGTTTTGCTCAGAAACCACTGACACCCAGAGGCCTCAAGAACACTGAGAAAAGGTCAGGACTTCCTGGGTACCAGCACATTTGAGAACTGAAGGGAAGGGGATAACAAAATTATTATTTTCCTTCCTTTGAAGTGATTACTTCAAACTCACCAGAGGAAATTAATTCATTTTTAAACTGGTGAGAATCAGCAGGATGTGGTGTGGAAGAATCAATGGAGGATACAGGATGAGGGACAATGTCTAATGCAGAAATAAACTGTGCAGAATGCAGCACAAACAAATTACTCTTGCTTAATAGGTGGTGTCACATAATAGACAACATTTATCACTGTTTTACTTCATAATTTCAGATTGCATTCACAGCATGCCAATACTGGCAAAATTATGTATTTATTGCAGACACCTCTCCAGCACAAGGTGGCTGAACAGGTATTAGTTGGGTTTTGCATGGAAATTCTACCCTCCCAAGATCTCTCCCAATTAAAATACACAAGTTTTGTGGATCTAACAATCTTTGCCTCACCATGTTGTTTATTTCAATTAAATCTTCTTTTTATCTGTATTGTGTTCATTAACTACAGCAACTATGATGCTAAAGTTCATGAGCAGCCTGCATTCCTGATGAGAACAGTTGATAGAAGAAACTCTTTTGATTTAAATATTCTCCTGGGTTTTTTCCCTACCTACGAACAGATGAATATTTTATAGCTGTGGTGACTTAATTTTTTGTTAACTACAGCAAATTTATAATTCATCAAATTCCTGAGTACTGTGGCTCTGACCCCTGCCCCTCATTCATCTCTTTGTAGCCCTGCCTTGGCTCTTTCAGTGACAGAAACTAATAGCCAATAAAGACACCATGACACTGGCAGTTACAATGATGAATGCTTCACGTGGCATGCTCTTATTATGACCCACTCTCAGAGGAAGAGCAAGCCATTTTTCAAACAATCCATTAAAACAAAAAAAAAGGGGGGGGAAGGAGAAGGAAATTATTACATATTTCATGCATTTTAAATCATACTTAGGAACTACAGCACACTATGCTGATAATTCTATCTGGTTTAGAGAGTTTGGATTTTTTTATTTCTGCTTCACACAAGTGACTTGGGAACTTGGCTGGTGTGAAGTAAAACCCACAGCACTTCCACTTCTTCCCCACAACATTTGAATGCAGCCATTTCTATGCAAATCTATAGCATTAAATAGGTAAAATGACACCAGGAGTTCCAACCTGCCCTTAGAAATACCTGTCAAATAAAGCTGAGAGCCAGCAATTGAGACTTGGATAATTCATTTGACTTTTCACTGCCAGCATTCAGTCCCTGCTTGGCAGGCCAGGAAATCCCTGCCTTTGGTGGCACCCTTAGTTCATTAGGGAAACAGAACTGAATAGGTGACAGCACTTCCCACTGAGGATTTGTGACTTATTTTTCATTTCTGATGAATTTTAATCCTGGCAGGTGTGGAATTCAACTGCTGCAGGCAATTCTGTCCACCAGTGCTTGTGATTTCTCATGGTCTTACCTTTCCCTGCCACTGCTCTCTCCAGAACACAGGACTTGGCTGAAAGCTGCCTCTGGTGTTCTCTTTGAATTCTCCACGCTGAGCTTCTCTCTCTTTGGTCTTTAATAGGAGGTGAAAATAAAACACAGACAAGAATTAGTGTAGCTAAAATCAAACTTGCTGAACCCAACAATCCAATCCCATCCCCATTTCCTCGGAATGCAAAATCAGGAGTCTCTTAGTTGAAACTGATCACTAAACATGCAGCACCCCTCAGTCTGTGTGTGTCCCACAAGTGGAACAGTTTGTCTGGCAGTTCAAAACATAAAATGGTCTGGGTTAGAAACAAACTGAACAAGCTTTACCTGGGGAATGTCCCAGGAAGGCCCAGCCTGCACTGTGGCTCTGCTCCTGGCTTTAGGAGGGGTAACATCAGGCACTGGTGACAGAAAGTGCTCCTGATGCAGCTGGGGAGGGACAGTGGCAGCCACAGACCTGAGGGCAGCACCACAGCACCCCTGCAAAAGGGGGCAGGGAGCAAATCCAAGGCAAACAGCCCTGGAAGCTGGCAGGGCGTGCCAGGGATGCCCAGTGAATTAACACTAATGCTATTACAGCAATGAGATTTATGAGGGGCAGCTTTGCCCAGCTCCTCCCGTGCCGTGTTCCTCTGTAATCCCCCTTGGCTGGGGCTGCCCTGGCACTCCCGACCCCAACCTTGCTCCCAGCAATCCCTGAACCACACTAAACTGAACTGACAGCTCTACAGGGATGGTTCTTCAACCCCAAATTTAGCAGCAAAGCAGGATAAGAAGGTCTAATAATATTTGCTTTCAGATCCACACTAGTTCCACTGAATGAACTGTTAAATCCCCTGTAATGCCTCTGAACTACACAATTCTTGATTTAAATACCTGTGTGCCTCTCCTCACTACTGTGCTGCCTCCTGTTCCATGTTTTATATGTGGCAAAAGGAAGGATGTGGGAGGAAAGGGAGATTTGCAGCAAATTCTTTACTATTTTGAGGAAATTTATGAATTTGTGTGTGCTGGGGAGTAAATCCAGTGGACTCCGTGAGCAGGGTGGGATGTGCAGCACAGGGAGGTTTGGACCTGCAGAAACGAATGGATTTATCACAAGAACATGGGTGATGTCCCCCAGATATCACAGGGAGGGGTGGAATCTGTGCTACGTTATTCAGCTGTGCCAAAGCACTGCTAGGGAACACCCAGTTCCAGCCTTTCTCCAGAGATTCCAGACCCCCACTGACCTCTGTGAGCTGGAGCAGGAGGAGCAGAGGCCACTCTGCAAACCTTTCTTTTCAGGGCTCTCTTTGGCAGGGGGTCTTTAACAAAAATCAGGCGCTCCTCCTCCCGGGGTGCTGCTTGCTGCTTTCTCTTCTGCTCCTGGATCCTCTTCTTGAGTTGCTCTAACTTATTTTGGGGTGATTTTCCCCACAGCCCTTCCAGCCTCTGGTCTCTGGCCTTGCTGGCTGCTGCCAGGAGGGATGTGGGAAGCAGGAGAGCCATGGGCACAGGAGTGACAGAGCAGGGGCTGCTCCCTGCAGGGCAGCAAGGTGGGCCGTGCAGGCAGCAGGGAGATTCCTCCTTCTGTGCTGGGAATCCTCTTGAACCTCCCAGCTCCCTGAAATTGTCCCTTCTTGGGCTGTGCAGGCTCTTTGCAGGCACCCATGTCCCAGCTGAGCCTTTTCCATGCGCTGCCCAATTCCTGCAGCGTCCTGAGGCTGCCCTGGGGGACAGAGGGGACATTCTGGATGGGCCAGAGATCACAGCAGGGCTCCCAGGCAAGCAGGTCTGTGAGTGAGCAGGGGAGGGAACAGCAGAGCTTCTCTCTCTTTGGAAAAAGGGAAACAAGGGTCAGTATAGGGTTAAAAATTATTACATTGGTCAATACACTGACAGGAGTGACTGCTGAGCTTGTTCATGTTCTGGTGTGACCTCAGCATCTCCACAGAATCAGCACTTTGCCAGGCACCAGCAGTCTGGCAAATGAAGGTAATGTTAGGGAGGTACAGTGCCAATTGTGATCTGATCTGAGAAATTATGAGCAGAGAATTAATCCCAGGCTCTGCCTTCCTGCACTGCCCTGTTGGTCACAGTTGGGGGAGCAATTGTTTGGTGACTCTTTTGTTCCTTTTTTTCCCTAATAAACAGTGAGGTGCTAAACTTTTTCTAAAGTCCCGCATCCCAAATTTTAAATCCCTTTTTGTGTGCCTTCACCTTCTCCCCCCCAGGTGCTGTACACTCAGGTTATTATTTACCTTTGGGCTGGAACAATCTCGTTGCTCTTTCTCTCACTCAAAGCTGTTTCATCTTTCTTCCTCTCGCCATCTACAGCACATCAAAACTATGTCAATGTCAAAAATGTCAAAAATATTCCTTAACCATTCAATTCAAAGAGCAACTTTGACTAGTGACTACCCCCCCAAAAAACCTGGCCCATAAATATTAAATAAATATTAAAGGCTGGCAGCTGAAACTGCTCCCAGCCAATAAACCACCTCAGAAACAAATATTTAACAGATGAAAATAACAAGTGAAGTCTGTTCTTGTCATTAATTTGTTAGAACATTCTGGAATTGGGTGAAATTTCCTGCTTTTCCCTTCTCCCACTTCATCTTTTAGAAACGATTTTAAACACATTATGTATCTCCTGCCAAAGTTAGCAAACAAAACGTTGCATTTACATCAGTTTCTCTCTAGGGAAGGAACCCTCAGAGGAGAAGCACAGGGAGCTTTTGTAGCTGTGGGTGTTGATGCTGCAGCTTTTGCCTGAGTTTTCCCCAGCAAGGTGTCACTTCCTGTGCATTGTGATATTTTGCTGGGAACACACAGAAAGCTGATGAAAATACACACTTGCCTCAATAAATCGGATTTTTCACTGTCTCCTGTCACCTTCCCTTCCCTCCAGCACCAAAGCAGCCCCATCCCAGCAGTTCCCCAGTAACCCAGAACTCACCAAAGCTCTTTCCGTGCCAAAGCTTTCTTCTGGCTGCCTGTGATTTGGCACAGCTCCACATTTGATGACAAAATTTGTTTTCAATCCTTTGTAGCTGTGAAAAAGCAGATTTTTCTTTTGAAGGGAGACATATGTTTTGGGTTTTTTTCTGGAGACGCTTTCTGCTGGCATCCGCTGCTTCTCTGATTAGTTTTGCAGCTCCTAGTTACTGTGTAAATACTGGCTTGTCTGAGCTTGTTCCATGTGCTATTTCCTACAGTTGGAAAGAATGCTATTGACTGGGAAGATAAGAGGTGAAATCACCTCTCTCCTTTATTTACTCTTTATGTGTTTGCCTCAGATTTTTACTGATATTTTTAAAAACAGCTTAAGCCGGAGGTGACCCCAGCCAAGAGCAACTTGAGGTGAAGCTTTTCCCCCTTTGTGGGCATCACTTATTTTAAGCATCACAAATTTTTTAAGTGTAAGCATTTGAAATCTGGGCTGTGACCATTCAGGTTCTCCAGGTTTTGGGTTATCCGGAGGGAACAGTCTGATAAGCCAACAGCAGAGGGCAAACGCATCCTGCACACACACCGGAGCTGCAGCATTTAGTGTTTGGAGCCTCCCGGCCCAGGGGAGGGGCAGGTGCCACCCTGGACAAAGACAGCCTGGCCTGGCAAGAGCAGCGAAACTCTCACAGCAGCAACAATTCACTTTCCTTCTCGTTTTCATTCTTTTTATGGAGCATCTGAGGGACTTCAGTGGGCTCTGATGTCCTGGAATGAGTCCTGACAGTGCATTTCTTATAACTCCTCAAAATTACCTCTGCAAAGCCATAAAACACATTTCTTCTTGCCCCACTTACTGCTGTTGTGGGTTGAATTTCAGTGAGTTCCCCAAGAAAAGGCTCTGTATCCTCTTCTCCCACCCCACTGCAGGGCAGAGCCAACTGTGTGCTGTTCCATCAGCATTTTGGTTTCTATTGAATCTGACCCCTTTCTCTGGTTTATATCTCCAATTATTCACTCATTCTTTATAACTCTTTATAACTCTAGAAGGTAGATTTGCTTCTAGCAGCAATGTCAGGATTGTGAGTGTTGGTTATTCCTGGAAAGCACTCAGAGGGTGAGGTGAGACGCTGGCACCACCTCCTTCCATGCCCACGGATCCCTGTGCCCTCTGAGAATTCCTCCTGAAGAAACAGACCCAGCCTAATCTAATAAATGTCCCTGCTCAGAGCCTCTGCTCAGACATCCCAGAATTTCAGCTTTTCAAGCCTAACCAAACAAGGAATTCCAGGCTGGAGTCACAAAGTTCCCTTTTCAAGCTGTTCCAAGCCAGTGTTCTGGGCTGATTAGAGGTTTCAGTGCTGGGAATGCAGAGCCTGCCCAGGAGGAGCCACAGCTATTCTGGGTGCACGAGTGATAAGAGCCCTAATTGCAGGCTCAGGGCTCAGGGGTGGAACCTCCAGGAGGGGACAGAACACAATGTGCAGCCTCAGCAGCGGGAGGACAACGCTCAGGGAAGATTTGGGAAGATGGGGAGCTGTGAGAGCTGCCAGGAAAGCCCAGGGCTGGTCCCCAGGCTGCTGGGATGGTGGGAGAGCCAAGTGGAGCAGGAATGTGTGTGCTGTGACAGGCAGAGCTCTCTGCAGGCAGTGATTCTGGGTCCCTCAGGTCGGACTGGTGCCTGTTTTGGCTCTGTATTTTCTCAGCAAGCTGTTGGAGCTGACAAGAGCCAGGAGAGTGACAGATTGCCACGCTGTTATGCTGCACATCTTGGAGTGTTAGACCACAAATCTGCTGAGAGATGAAGTGAAACCTATCACTGGGCCAAATCCCACTTCTGCAGAGTGTGAAACTCCCAAGTGAGGGAGCTGAGGGTGAGCTGAGGCAAAGAGCAGCAAATCCATTAGGATTTGTATTTTAGATCTGCAGGAGCAACATGAGCCAGGCATGCACAGTTCTGTCCTGCTGACTCCACAGCTCCTGTCTCGTGGAAACAAGGAAGGAAGAGGCCCTGGGTTTTAACTCCTACAGCATTTAGAGGCCCCCAAAACATTGAATTTCCCCAACTGAGATACTCCAATTACCACCTACTCATTTTAGCAAATCAGACAATGGGCTATGGCCCATTCAGAGCAGGTTTTACAAAGGAATTTCAGGGCTTTTCTGGCAAGAATATTGCAGAATTTCTCATCTAAGAACCTGCTGAGGGAGGTGCTGCTGACCCCCCACATGGGGTTATCCCATAAGGAGCACATGCTCTGGGTTTGAGTCTTCTTTTTCCCCACCAGCACTTCCCCCTTGCACACATGGTGCTGAATGGGGCAAGAAGTGCCCAGCTCTGCCACACTGGCACTCAGAGCTCCAGGGTGGATTTCTGGTGGTTTTGCAAGGCAAAGGCAAGTGGGTTTGGTATTTACTCAACCCTGCATGAGGCTGTTTGGACTCTGAAGTTTGTTTGATACAGACTCACCTCCCAGAGGCTTCAGTTTCTGCTGCTCTGCACTGTCACTGTTAAGGAAATATTTCACCCACTAACCCACAAGGTCTAGCAAAATTCAGGAAGTGCAGATGTATGTGAACCAAAACCAGAAATTCCTCCCCAGTCTCAGTGTTTTGAAATTTTTGCACCCTCCAGACGTGCTCCAAGAATCCTACAAACAGCCCACAGCTCTGGCAGCCACACTCCTTTATTCTCTTGCTGGTTTGCTCCTCATGCCTGGCTTTGTGGGAGTATTGTGAGTTCCACTTTTGGGAAACACGTCCAGCTAAAGGAAAGAAAATGGTATTTCTTTGTTGATTTTTTTACAGTGCCTGACTAAGCAATTTTCACGGAAAACCATCTTCACAGCAATTCTAAGTTAGCAAACAATCGAAGCCCAAATGTGGACTGGATGTGACATGAATTTTGGAGTGAGCACATGGAGGGAAGAGGCCGCTGATAAAAACACCAAGTGCACTGCTCTGAAGTCTGACAGTCCTGCACCCCTTGGAATCTGTGACAAAACACTCCCTGAAGTTAAAAAGGACAAAGATAAAGACACTTAATAAATTGGGATTTGATTTGAACCCTCAAGGAGCTTAGGGGACCCTAAGCTTTGAAGTCATTCTTAGCAGTACTTATCACCTCTCAAATCAGCTGCATTATAAGACTGAGACAAATGGGCTGCCCCATTAATGGTGCCATGTCACATTGCTGAGATAAGACACAAATTTCTTCCTCCACAGGTAATGTTGTGAGATATCAGTGCTCATGTAAAACACCCAGAGACAGGGGAGGAGTGATTTTTTGCTGGTACCACTGATAACATTTCCTCTTTTTTTATTTTCCATCCTAGCAGACAAAATTCCCAATTCCCTCCCACGTTGCTGGGAAGCAGCAGATCCTTTTCCCATGGGCTGTGCCATCCCCTCAGTGGCTGAGCTGCACTGAGTGCTGAGAACAGCTTGGATGCAGGTGGGAGGCTGCCACGAGGCTGCCCAAGCTCAGGGAAGGATTTGCTGCAACACAGACACGCTGCCTTGGCTTGGCTGGCAGCCAGAAACACAAGGGAATATCAAGCTCGTATTCTCCTACTGATGTCCTAAAATAACAGGAGTAATGTGTGTCAGGATAGAACTAGACCTTCAGAATATCTGGATTTTATGCTGCCTGCCAAGTGGTGTCTGGCAAAGGGCAAGTGTTCTCTTGATGTGCTAAAATACAGATCCATCATCCAGTTATTGGGGGAAAAGTGTGTTAAGATAGCAAATAGCTATCCATGGCCCATTTGGGTTTTTTTCCTATCAATAGGAGACTGTGTGAATGGAATCTGAAGTGAGGAGGGGGGGCTGCCTGCACGGTGCAGTGGAATGTGAGAGAGCACAGCATTGCCATGGAAACCTGCTGTAGTAAACGGGGCTCTCCAGCTGCAGGAGAGGATTTATAGTGCCAGGCCGGGAGTGGTCAATTTAAATCACCAATCTACAGGTAAAATGGCACATTTCCTTCCACCTTGTCTCCCTGCACTGCCAAGTGAGAAAGGAAGGGGACGTGGGTGGTGAGAATTAGAGTTCAGAGTGATGAGGTGTCTTAAATCCTGACCTAAAACACTCAGGAGATGCTGCAGAGATCCCTGTGGATCTTGGTGGGGGCAGGAGCAGCTCTGTGCTCCCTGTGCCCCAAACCAGAGCAGCAGGCACAATCCCCGTGTCCAACAGCCTCACAGGGACGAGAAGCAGAGTCCATTCCCTGCTTGGATAACCCACAGACTGCTTGGATAACCCACAGACTGCTTGGATAACCCACAGACTGGAGACCCCACTGCTCAGGGATGCTCCCAGTTTGTTCTTTTGGCTTGGAGCTGGGGAAGAGTCCATCTGGTGAAGCTCCCAATCCAGCCTGTTACACCTAAAAGTGAGACAAAACGTGCTGTGAGCCCCAAGCCCTGCTCTCTAAGGGATCAGATAAATGGGAATGATTTACTGTGCTCAGATGCCCCAGTTTATTGGCACTCAAGCACAGTGATCTATGCGGTGCTGTGAGACACTAACAACATTATTTTTGCAGGGCTGCCTTCATTACCATGTATTGCCAGGTCCTGAGTGCCTGAGTCCATAATTCCTTGGATCAGACACCATTCCCAGCTAAGGGCAGTGGTTAAATCTGACTTATGTGGAACCACCATGGGGCCAGGGTGGGCTTTAGCTCCTCTAAGTTTCACCAATTTGCCTTTTCATCCTATCCTGTAAACCTCAAAGTCTCCTGATTTACCATGGCTTAGTGTGCAGGCTGCTGCACATCTGGCTATATTTGTGTCACCAAATAAAAGAAGGAAAATTCCTTTTGAGCTGGAAATTCAGAGTCCTTGGTGGCAAAGTCTCAAAGCTCTGTGCACTCTGTGAGGGTGTTTTATTGTGCTCCACTGCTTTTTCTTCACATGTTACTTTGTTCTGCTTCAACCTTTCAACAAGGCATCAAACAGCTCTCAAGAATGGCAAGATTTAGCCTGTTCCTTCAACAGGAATGATGTGTTCAAAATCCAAACAGTCCAATCAGAATCTGGGAATTGGGTCCTCCTGTAACCTCTGCTGCTGCCTGTTTTGAGCCCTGCCCACACAGCAGATGCTGCCAGCCAGAGTTCCCCTTCCCTGCTGCATTTATTCCTCTCTGGAGTGCTCTCCTTGGGCCTTCAGCCTTCAAATTCCCTCCT